AGTGGCCGCGACGCGTTTTCATGGCTTGCTGAATGACCGCATCGAGTTTGAATGAGGTGCCGACGTCTCAACTTCATTGGAAATGGCCTTGGAGGATGCGAGGGTTGTCGGCGACTACTTTTAATGATTCGCTGACTGCTTGCATCCAAATTCACGAGTTGTCAACAGTCTGTGACTGGTTCTCACTTGTCGTTGGCCGTCTGCAACCGGTATTCAAGAATTGCAGATTGTCCGCGAATACTGTTTACGATTCGCCAACTATCCGCATCTCGCTTTCACGAGTGGGCCTTGTTTTCACGTCTCGCGACTTTCTTGACAGTGTCTTACCCCCCATCTCTCGCGTACCGCGCAGAGCCTCCCGGTCCGCCCACCCCCAAGGTGACGGACTGGACCAGGTCCACGGTGGAGCTGGAATGGATTCCTCCCCTGGTGGACGGAGGCTCCAAGGTGACCGGCTACATTGTGGAATTCAAGGAGGTGAGCAGGGAGGAGGAGGAGAAGAAGGCTCAGAGGAAGTTGCTTTTACTGAGCGGCGCTGACGAGAAGGAGCCCGAGGCCCCGGAGAGCTGGCGGAAGGTAAACTAAGATCACTCCAGCAGCGTCGTCCCGGGCGAGTCGGCTTTCCCCAACTGGTGAATGTGTCCCTCATTCCCGGGTTGCGCTCTCTCCAGGCCAAGGACACGGAGATCAGAGGAACCAAGTTTGTGGTGGCCGAGCTCAAAGAAGGTGCTCTGTACCGCTTCAGAGTCAGAGCCGTGAACGCCGCCGGCGTCGGCGAGCCTGGACTCGTTTCGGAGCTGATCGAAGCCAGAGACAGGACAAGTAAGACGAAATACGCCGCTGCCTTGACGTACAGGGACCACAATTCAAACGCTTGACAAATTACCAGCCGTCGCTCGGTTGATTTATTTTATTTCGTTGATTCTCGTCCTTCAGTTGCGCCCGAGATGGACCTGGACGCCTCCGTCAAGGAGAAGATCGTGGTCCACGCCGGCGGCACCATCCGAATCATCGCCTACGTGTCTGGCAAACCGACGCCGCGCATCAGCTGGTGCCGAGATGACGGCGAGGTGCCCAAAGAGGCCGCAGTGGAGACCACGGGCATCTCCAACTCACTGGTCATCAAGAACTGCAAACGCCAGCACCAGGGCATCTACACGCTTTGCGCAAAGAACGAAGGCGGCGAGAGGAAGAAGGCCGTCATCGTCGAGGTTTTGGGTGAGTGACTTCAACGGGAGACACGGACCGCTGGCACCACTTGTTTTCCAGTGTCCGCATCGAGTTTTCTTTGGGTTGTGACCGGCCGCAACTACTTTTTATGAGTCGCTGATATTCGGCAACGGGCTCCTCTTATTTGCATCCCCGACTCCTTTTCATCTCCCGCTGACTTTTCGTGAGTTGACAACCGACTGCGAGCATCCACAGCCAGTTCTCGTCAATTAAACAAAGACGGTATGGGAAAAAAATTAAATCATAATAACAATTGGTTGGAAGGACGAACTGCGACAAATCGGGGTCGGCGGATGGCTGTAAATGCCACGAGTGATTAAAACAAGAACCCCCGTCCGTCTCTGGCCTCCAGACGTCCCCGGACCGGTGGGGCTCCCCTTCGCCGGTGAGAACCTGACCAACGACTCGTGCAAGCTGACCTGGTATTCCCCCGAAGACGACGGCGGCTCGGCCATCACCAACTACATCATTGAGAAGCGGGAGTCGGACCGCATGGGCTGGACTTCGGTCACCTACACGGTCACCAGGAACAACGCCGTGGTGCAAGGGCTGCTGGACGGGAAGGGATACTTCTTCAGGATTGCCGCCGAGAACATCATCGGCATGGGACCCTTCGTGGAGACCGACAGAGTCGTGCTCATCAAAGAGCCCATCTGTAAGATTGTTTGGCAGGGCGCTTCCGGGAGGCAGAAAAGGGACCGCAAACCTGTCAAAAAAAAAACTTTTTTGACGGGGGATGCGCCGCAAGATACGCTTGATTCATAGAGCACTTGAAACGCCATCGAATGCCAATGTGTTTCAAGACTAGTTTCAAAAACGGGCAGGTCTCGATCATTCCGTTGGCATCACCTCCGCTCATCCGAGGCTCCGCACACAGCCGACTGAGTTGCGGTGCGGACAGACCGTTTCTAGATTACAAATTGAAGCATCTCCAAATGAACTCGAAAATGTACAGGAGCCAGTGAAGGGAGGCCAAAATTGGAGGACATGTGCTCCCTCCTACAAGCTCCAGTTTGGAATCAAGCAGTGGCAGCAGTTTGCACCAACCGAAGCCCTTTGAGGAAGGACTGGCTGACTGCAAAATAAAGTGCGTTAGAGTAATCCGTACTCCAAGAGGGTTTTTTGGGGGGGGTGGGGGAAGGGGATTCCTTCCCCGTCCCCCAAAAAAATCCAACCAAATGAATCCAGTGGTGTGGAGGCTGCTGGTAGTTGTACCGATAAGAACGCAAGCAAACCGCCGTCGTCAGGTTTGTGTCAGTGAAAGCTCCGTCTTCTGCCATCCCGAAAGTACGTGTGACGTCATGGTGGAAAGGTCTCATGCCAGAAAATCCATCAGAACATGCTTGAAGTTCCACGTCTGTGCTCGAAGGTTTTCATTCAAAAACACCGTTACAGAGAAGCTCATTGGCACATCGAATAATACTGTCACGTTTTGTGTGGCGTTAAGAGTTGAGGACCCCAAAAAGCAGGCAGGAGCAAGGTGGACTGACCAAAATGTATTGAACAAAAATGCAAACAGGAGTACACCGGACAAAAGTAACTGAAGTGCTCCAACATAGTCCCGAAAAGAAACCAAAGTAGCAAAAAAAAAAAAACCTCAGGAGCACACAGACACTCACAATGACCCGACAACGACTGACAGAACCCAGCGAACTAAATCCAAGCAAAGTGGCGAGACAACGAGAAACACCCGGACAAGACACAATGGCTTGAGGGGGCCGACTGGTTGAAGGCAAGGGACACGGATGACGAGAACAGGTGACGACAAAAAAAAAAAAAATGCACACCGGGAACAAAACCAGAACAAATGTAGCCTTTCGCAAGCCAAGTGGATTTTGTGGCATGGGGCCTTTCGAGGTCCGGCAAGCCAAGCGAGGTCTTGCCCAACCGCAAAGGACTAAGGCTCGTCTCCCGCAGCCGTGCCCGAGCGTCCGGAGGACCTGATCGTCACGGCCGTCACCAAGGACTCCGTCTCGGTGGCTTGGAGGCCGCCCAAGTACGACGGAGGCGCGGAGGTGACCCGCTACGTCCTGGAGTCTCGCGTGGTTGGCCGAGACGCCTTCGTCGGCGTGGGGGGTAGCGACAAGCTGATGGACAGGAAATTCACGCTGAGCGGACTGAAGGACGGCTCCAGTCACGAGTTCAGAGTGGCGGCCGTCAACGTGGTGGGACAGGGCAAATTTTCCTTTGCCACCAAACCCGTCCAGTGCAAGGACGAGTTGGGTGAGTACGGCCGATCCCCGAAACGTCGTCTCGGCTACGCGTGCATTTGCTGAGGTCCATGCCGATTTGGCAGAAAAAGATTCTGCCAACCAATTTTATTATACATAACACATATTACCCTGAATGCTTACAAAAATAACAATAACAAATACAAATTAAAACATTGGACTAGTTGACTTTATAGCAAAGAGTATTTTTTTGTTTTTTTAGGGGGGGGAGTGTATATCTTTGCCTGACGTAATGTGTAAGAAAAAAAAAACGCTTTTTTTTTTGTTTGTTTGCCAGTTTTAAAACGGCTCATATTGATCGATTAAATCGGCCGGCCAATTCATTGTCAGGCACTGCTATTTTTCATGGTGTTTTTTTTTTTGTCATTATTCTTCACAGCAGTGAAACGTTCATATTTTTGTTGTTCTGAATTCGAAAGTATTATTGTCATCCATATGTCTTCTCGGTCTCCTTGACCACCAAGACCAGGGGCACTGGACTCATAGCATCGCCGTTTGTCACGAAGTTCAACGAAATGGAGGTGGAGACCATCCAGTAAATAACTTGCGATTTCCTGTCCGTCAGAACCGCCCAATCTGGAGCTGGAGTTCCGAGACAAGATGACGGTGAAGGTGGGAGACGGCTGCACGCTGGCGGGACGCTACGGCGGCAAGCCCGCGCCGAGCGTCACCTGGACGAAGAACGAGGAGGAGCTGAAGCCCGACGAGGACGTGGCCGTCCGCAGCAGCGCCAGGCATCTCAGTCTGGACTTCATCAAGGCCAGGCGAGACCACAGCGGACGCTACCGCGTCAGCGTGGACAACCCGGCCGGGACGCGAAGCGGAATCTGCGCCCTCACCGTCGTCGGTGAGTCGGCCGACCGCATCGGCCCATGTGAAAAAGTCGTGCTCGCGCTACAAATACTTGGAATCCCCTGCTGACTTTGACTTGCCAAAATCACACGCGCACTTCACCGGTGTTTCACCGGCCATTGAGTGGCTGTGCGTTATTTTTGGTTTGGTTTTGTTGTGTTGTTAGTCCAAATGTAAAATTCCTCACAAAAAAACGAAAAGCAAAAGTCATTTTTTCAAAAGAAAAGTCATTGTTTTCTACGTTGTATTTGGAAAACATTTCTTTTCTGCTTTTGAAAGAAAAAATGCTGTCTTCCTGATGCCAATAAATCTGACTTTTAGCAAGGCAAGTCTCAAACTTCCTCCGCCACTCTCTCAGGGCACTTTTCAAATCCTATTTAAATTCCATTTCAATACGAGTCGCGATGGAGGACGCTTTAGCGTGTCGGCCACTTTTCAGTCAGCCTGTACGCGGCCTGCAAAAGGCGCGCATGTTCTTGACCTCCGAACGCTTCCCTCCCCGCCAGACCGGCCTCAGCCTCCCGAGGGCCCCGTGGTCTTTGAGGAGGTCTACAGAGACCACATGCTCATTTCCTGGAAACCTCCCCTGGACGACGGCGGATGCGCCATCTCCAACTACGTCGTCGAGAAGAGAGACACCAATCGAGACCTGTGGATGCCCGTCACCGCGTCCTGCACCAGGACCACCTGCAGGGTGCGGACCTTTCCCCTCATGGGATCGCACAAATGCGCGCTCACCGCCTTGCGTCACCGTATCACCCTTCTTTGCTGATTCAGGTGCCAAAACTGATTGAGGGTCGCGAGTACATCGTCAGGATCATGGCCCAGAACATCTACGGCATCAGCGACCCGCTGCTGTCCGCCGAGATCAAGGCCAGAGAGATGTTCAGTAAGGGATGGGACGGGCTGGCCTGGCCTCTGCCTGTGGGAGCCACGGCGCTGGTCAATGCAAGTGCGTTTTGCATTTTGCCCCGCAGGGGTACCCGACGCTCCCAAGCAGCCCACCGTCAAGGACGTGTACCACGACCGCGCCCTGGTTCGCTGGGAGCCTCCAGCTGATGGAGGGAAGCCGATCACGGGCTACATCGTGGAGAGGAAGGAGACCATGGCTAATAGGTACAAAGCCGACCCGTGGCTCCGTGGCCCCACCGGTGTCAGTGGCGTTGCGCAAAGGTTGAATGGAGGCAACTGATTTGTTTTTTTTCAACTTTCATCCAAAATGTCTTTACTGGGCTCCAGTCTTCCTTGTATTTTTTGCTTGGAGCACCGTGGCTCCTAACCGGAAGCTTCTCGGGGCGCAATGAGAAATTTTAGGGCCGGACGCACAATGGAAATTCTTGGAAACTCATCATCGGCGTCAGCAGCTCGCTCAAGTGGAGAACAAAGTTACTCAACTCAACTGTATTTCCAGAGCACCGCCGCCGTACATGAAGCGGTGCACTTGGAGCAAAAAGTAGTCAGACGACAACAAACAGTCAAACAATGGATTCATAACCAAGATGGAGTCTCATGCTGAGTCAGACGCCAAAGAATCACAATGAGCTTTAAGACGCCGACTGTCGCGAGCGAGAAGAGTCCGCGTGCCTCCGCTCAATTTTTGCGGATGACCTCGGATGACCGGCGGTCTGCGCGGACTCGAGCCGGATTGTTTTTGTGCTCCGTAGGTGGGTCCGCTGCAACGCAGAAAAGATCCATCCCAAGGTGGAGTACTTGGTCCTGGACCTGCTCAAGGGTTGCGAGTACGAATTCAGAGTCAGTGCCGAGAACGTGGTGGGCATTGGTGACCCCAGCCCGCCGTCCAAGCCCGTCTTCGCCAAAGATCCCATCGGTAAGACACAGAAGAGCCAGCGCGTAGCGTTGCCCAGATCGGGTTCAGGCCGACGGTCAGCGGTCTTTCGAGCCCCGAAGAGCCATTTGGACCGTCGAACCACGTACATTAAGTGGCTGTGATTTGGCTCATCGGTATTTCATACAATTAAACAAATTTGTCCTTTTGAGTTGAAGTTGACGGGACTGGACAGTAAATGCAACACAGTGCCGACTTTTAGACCTGCGGCGAAAAAAATAAACATATGCAGTGTTATCGTCACCTCAAGATCAAGGCTCTTAAAAGTTGACTTTGACCACGTTGGAGCGCTTTGTGCTCCTTCGCCTCAGCCTTTGAGCAACCAAAGAATACGTGATTTGCGTCTTACAAGAGCACCGTAATCTTCACGTTGAGAATGACGTTTTCAAAAAAAAAAAAAGGACCTGAGTAATGCAATGAAAATTTCCACGATCCATTTTCCAAAGTGAAAGAAGACCTCAGGAGAACGCGGGTTGCGCAAGTCTGGGTTTGGGTAGCCCAATTTGGTTCCAGCCAAAATATTGGCGCCGATATCGACTTCGAACTGTCACACTGAAAGCCTTTCCCGCTCTTTTCCTCAGTGAAGCCAAGCCCGCCACAAAATCTCAAGGCCGTGGACCACACCAAGGAGTCCGTGACTCTTTCCTGGGATCCGCCCGCCGACACCGGCCGAGGCAAGATCTTCGGCTACCTGCTGGAGTTCCAGAAGGCCGGCGACGAGGACTGGCAGAAGGTGAGCCGCTCGCTGCTCACCACAGCTCGTTTACTTTGTGCAAATGCAAGGGCAAGTACACGTGAGGCTACTTGTGTGAAAACAAAAGTACAGATACCGATCAGGGTTGTTAGAGTTTGGGATTTTGCATTCCTCCTATTTAGTTTGCTCGGACTTTTCCTTTTTCAGTCCAGTCTGTTGGTTTGTATGACAACGACGAGAAAAATCGACATAAGTACCAGATACTTGGTTCCTTGATACCACCGCTTTGACACACACTGATAAGTGTGCTGCCTCCGCCCTCCTCTAGGTCAACCATACTCCAGATTCTTGCCCGGGGACCAAGTTCAAGGTGGTGGGCCTGGAGGATGGCTCCCTCTACCGCTTCAGAGTGAAGGCCGTCAACGCCGCCGGGGAGTCTGACCCAACGTATATCAAAGACCCGGTCAGAGTGAAGGACCGACTCGGTGAGCGGCTCGGACTCTGTGCAAAAAAAAACGTCATGTTTCAAGGCCACTCAAGTTTGCGTTTGCTTGTCCTAACCTTAGAAGCGCCAGAGTTGATTTTGGACGCCGGTATGACTCGGGAGGTGAAGGCCCTGGCCGGCACCCACATCACTCTCATGGCCACCATCAAGGGCATCCCCTTCCCCTCCGTCGTCTGGAAGAAAAACGACACCGACGTTCCCACCAGGGCCGACATCGAGACCAACCAAGAGGGCACTAAGCTGGAGATGAGGTTCTGCAACCGTGGCGACTGTGGAGACTACACGCTCACCGTCGAGAACCCCGCCGGCTCCAAGACAGTCACATGCACCGTCTTGGTCTTTGGTAGGAAGTCACCACAACTAATACTCATATCGATTCCTCCAATTTTATTCAAATTTGCTCTGCACCTTTACAGGTCAACTTAATAAGTCATCTAAACCTTTGTCTAAACTGTCGAGTGTCTCACTTGCTGTTCTCTGACAAAATTCGAAACAGGTGTTTTGCGATCAATTACACAAAACACGTTTTGCTACGAGTGACTACCAGTACTGGGTTGAATTAGACTTGGTATTGACACAGTCGGTGTTATCATGCTGTGGAGATTTTGACCTCACGAGACCAAGACGAGATCAAAGGGACGAGGCTTCAAACGGGAAGTGGCTATTCCGCTTCGAGTCTCACAGAGTGTCATCATTGGGTTGCAATGGAGAGACCGGAAGGGTCCAGGAAAAGGGGCACGAGTGGATGGCCTAAAAATTTCATGGATCAAAGCCTTGTTGGGAATTTTGCCCTTCAGCTCCCTTCGTGTCAAACAGCAAGTTGTGCAAATTAGGTTCTGAGACGTTCAACGATTGAGAAGGTCAAATGAGGTTCACCCGCATTTTCAAGATCAGGCTCCACCCGAAAGCCCAACAACCTGAAGGTTCCGTGAGTGATGTTGGCGCACTTAAGAGTTGTCCTCATTTTGTGTTCAGATAAACCTGGTCCTGTCCAGCACCTGCGCGTGTCAGATGTCAGGAGCGACTCGGCCTACCTGTCCTGGAAAGACCCGGAGGACAACGGAGGCACTCGCATCACCAACTTTGTGGTGGAGAAGAAAGACACGGGGTCCACTCAGTGGGTTCCCGTGTGCTCCACGTCCAAGAAGCGCAGTATGATGCTCAAGCACCTGACGGAGGGACTGGCCTACACCTTCAGAGTTGCGGCTGAGAACCAGTATGGCCGCAGCGAATACGTGGAAACGCCGAAGGCCATCAAAGCCATGAATCCGCTCTGTGAGTAGCCGCACTCTGCATACAGCAATGCTCGGCCCTCCTTTGATTTGCGGGGATACCATCCAGACACCACCGACAAATGCAGGAAATCCGCACTTTCAAGAGACTCACTGTACACCTTTTGCCATCGTGGAGCAAAAATTGATCATGTAACAATGACGATGGAAATGAAAGTCGCTAGAGCGAAAATGAGAATTGCCGCAGATGTCCACACACCTTCCCAAGAACCTGTCGCTGCCCAAACGGAAATTAGCATCATGTTAAGGTCATGGAAATTTGAACAGTTGCTCCTTGAACGCACACGGAGCAGCGACAGTTGACTCTAAAGCACACAAACAACAAACACACAAAGTTGTAAAACTGCCGGTCTAAACGCTGAACGTGTTTTTCCCCGCAGTCCCTCCCGGTCCTCCCAAAGATCTTCACCACGTCGATGTGGACAAGACGGAGGTGTGGCTTGCCTGGAACTGGCCCGACCGAAACGGTGGAAGTGAGATTACGGGCTTCCTGGTGGAGTATCAAGAAGAAGGAGCGAAGGACTGGCACGAGTGGCAGACAGTCAGCATCCCGGAAAGTCACGTGACGGGTCTGGAAGAAGGCAAGACCTATCGCTTCCGAGTGAGAGCCGAGAATGTCATTGGCCTCAGCAGACCCGACACCACCGTACCCATCCTCTGCCAGGAGAAGCTGGGTGAGCTCAAGTTCTAAGACAAAAAAAAAAAAAAAAAAAAAAAAAAAAAAAAAAAACACCCTTGGGTTGTTTCATTTCGTTGGCATGAACACAGCTGAAATGGTTGTGAAAACAGGAAGCAAGGTGGACACACATGACAGAGTGTCAAACTTAGAGTGTCAAATTCTCCTCCATTGGAGAAGCAACACAAAAGAACATGCAAAAGTAGTTTCAAGTCAGGAGTTACTTTTCACTCACCCTGTGTGTCGTCTGCCAACAGTGCCTCCGATCCTCGAGGTGGATGTCAAGCTGACGGAAGGCATCGTCGTAAAGGCGGGCACCACCATCAGGCTACCCGCCATCATGAGGGGAATGCCCGTCCCTACCGCCAAATGGTCCATTGACGGAGAGGAGATCAGCAGCGGAGGCAAGATCAAGATTGACACCGACAACTTCTCCACCGTCCTCAGCATCACCGAGTGCACCAGAAGTCACACCGGCACCTACCTGCTCACCGTGTCCAACCTCGCCGGCACCAAGACGGCGGCCCTCAACGTCACCGTCCTGGACGTCCCGGCGGCGCCCATCGGACCCGTCAATGTCCTGGAGGTGTCTCCTGATGCCATGACCATCGAGTGGCGCCCTCCTAAGGATGACGGCGGCAGCCCCGTCACCAACTACGTCGTGGAGAAGAGAGATTCCAACAAGGAGACCTGGGGAGGGGTGAGCTCTGGCAGCCTGGCCACCAAGCTCAGGATCGTGCGCCTGCAGAAGGGCGTCGAGTATGTGGTCCGCATTCGCGCCGAGAACAAGATGGGCATCGGGGCGCCGCTGGAGAGCAAGCCAACGGTCGCCGAGCATTCCTTCATGCCGCCCAGTCCACCTGGTAAGCCGCTGGCCCACGACGTCTCCGAGGACGCCGTTACGGTCGGCTGGACCATGCCCTTGTCTGACGGTGGCAGTCAGATCACCGGGTACATCCTTGAGCGCAGACACAAAGGAGGAAAGTGGATCCGTGTGAACAAGACGCCCTGCAAAGACCTTCGCTACAGAGTCCAGGGATTGTTTGTGGGCAACGAATACGAATTCAGAGTCTTTGCTGAGAACATTGCCGGCTACAGTGGCCCCTCACCCATCTCTGACCTCTGCAGGCCCTGCCGGCAGATCACGGTCCCGAGTGCCCCGGTCAACCCCAAAGTCAAAGATTACAGCAAATCGACGGCCGACTTGGTGTGGACCAAACCCACCAAAGACGGAGGCAGTCCCATTCTGGGCTACACTGTGGAAATGAAGAAGGCCGACGGAGACTGGAAGAAAGTCAACCTGGACGACTTCATCAAGTTGTGTGCCTACACGGTGAAGGGGCTCGAGCAGGGTTCTACCTATCGATTCAGAGTGTTTGCCTCAAATATGATCGGTGACGGTGAGTCCAGAGAGATTCCAGAGTCGGTCACGGCTCAAGATATTCTCATCCCCCCGGAGATTGAAATGGACGCCAGGTGTCGCGAGCGCATCACCGTCCGCGTGGGACACAACATCAACATCGTTGGCTACATCAAGGCCCGTCCCGAGCCAGAAGTGCTGTGGTCCAAGGGGGAGACTGTTCTGGAGAAGAGCAAACGTGTAACTATGCCCCAGAACCTACCTGTGGTCCAGCTGAAGATCAAAGAGGCCACCAGAGCCGACCACGGCAAATACACCCTGAAGGCCTCCAATGTGGGTGGAGAAGCCTCCTGCTGCATCACTGTTAATGTTCTGGACCGGCCCAGCCATTGCCAGAACCTCCATACCACCTACGTCACCAAGGACTCCTGCATGATCAACTGGGAGGCCCCGAAAGACAATGGTGGCTCAGAAATTACCAACTACATCGTGGAGTGCAGAGAACCCAGCGTCAGCTTGTGGTCCATGATCTCTTCCCATTGTACCAACCGCAAGATCAAGGCCAAGCTAATGGAGGGCCACCAGTACCTGTTCCGTGTCTGCGCAGAGAACAAGATAGGACCCGGGCCCTGCGTGGAGACCAAGGTCCCAGTGCTTGCCATCGACCCCATCGAAAAACCAGGCGAGCCTGAGAACTTCAGGGTGGCCGACATTGGCAAGAACTTCGTCTACCTGAGGTGGAGGAGGCCTGATTACGATGGTGGCAGTCCCAACCTCTCCTACAACCTGGAGTGCAAAGCCAAAGACGCGCAGGAATGGGAAAAACTAAACACCGGCATCCTGACTAACACTTTCTTTTTGGCCGACAAGTGTGTTGAAAACCAGACGTACACTTTCAGGTGAGTCAAACGACTTGCCCTAGCTGCTAAATGTTTTCAAACAAGTGTGAAAAGTAGATCCATTTTAGACAAGGCGCTTTAGGGATAAAGAATCTGGCATCAATAGCTAAAGCACATTTGTTTGTTTTTTTCAGGGTGCAAAGCGTCAATGAAGGAGGAGAGAGCGGTTGGGTGAAATTGGCCGATATCTTGGTGCGAGAAGAGATCCAGAAGCCGGTCCTTGACCTGAAGCTGTCCGGAACATTGACGGTGAAGGCCGGAGAGTCGGTCAGAATAGAAGCTGCCTTGAGAGGAAAGCCGCAACCTGAAGTTAAGTGGACCAAGGACAAGGCGGTTGGAGACAACCCCAGAATCAGCTACGAGACCGGTTCTGACTACTCCAAGTTCCTTTTGACAAAGTCCCGACGCACTGACTCCGGGAAGTACATTGTCACCGCCACCAACTCGGCCGGAACCTTCACGGCGTATGCCAACGTGAACGTCCTGGACGTCCCCGGAGCCGTCAGGAACCTACGAGTCACCGGCGTTGGAGCAGACAAATGCAGAGTGGTTTGGGACGCACCTGAGGATGACGGCGGCTGCGAGGTGGACAGCTACATCTTGGAAAAGTGCGAGACCAGGAGGATGGTGTGGTCCACGTACTCCGCCTCGGTAGTCACGGCGTACTGCAACGTGACTCGTCTGGTGGAGGGCAACGAATATATCTTCAGAGTACGGGCCGAGAACAAGATGGGAACTGGGCCCGCCGTGGAGAGCAAGCCGGTCACGGTCAGGACTCAGTTCAACAGACCTGGACCGCCCGATGCCCCTGAGGTCACCAAGGTTGGTTCTGAACATTCATGTGGGGCAGAAATAAAGGAGATGAATAGTCAGACAGTACAGATATCTTTTTTTTACAAATGGAGGGGAGGGAAAATGGAAATAAATACTCTGGACAGATGTGTGAAAAATCTGCCCAAGTACCGCGGACATGATGATCGTATTGTTGTGATGCAGATAAGCAAAGAGGAGATGACGGTGGTCTGGGCTCCTCCCGAGAATGACGGAGGAAAGTCCATCACGGGCTACATCCTGGAGAGGAAGGAAAAAAGGGCCGTACGCTGGGTGCCGTGCACTAAGAGTCCAATCCCCGAGAGACGCATGAAAGTGACCAACCTGTTACCCAACCACGAGTATCAGTTCAGAGTCAAGGCTGAGAATGAGGTCGGTCTGGGAGATCCCAGCAAACCCTGCAGACCCGTGACAGCCAAAGATCCCATTGGTAAGTTTACCAAGACCGGAGTGAAGCCTGTCCGTGTACCCTCCAGAACAGTTTCCCCTTCCACTTCGAACACAAAATACCATCTGAAAAATGTATTTGGCTCCCCAAGTAGCACCATCACATCCGACATTCAAATTCAAGCAAAAGTTTTATCTTTTGCTCAATGCTCTACACCGGACCGTTATTCGCGTTGTTTTGTCCGTCTTCAGAACCTCCTGGGCCACCCGCAGGCCTGAAAGTGGCCGACAGCACCAAGACCTCCATCACTCTTTCCTGGTCTAAACCCGTGTACGACGGGGACGCACCAATCATCGGCTACAGTCTGGACATGAGACTGAAGAGTGAGGCTGACCCCGAAAAGCCCACCGCAGGCTGGAAGAGAATCGACACCAATGGGCCCTTGGTCCTCAGAGAGTTCACCATCGGACAGCTGGATGAGAAACAGGAGTACGAGTTCAGGGTCTCCGCCCAAAACCAGGTGGGCTGGGGACGTCACGCCTACTTAAAGGAGGCCGTCTTCCCCAAGGAGATCCTAGGTAGGAACTTGACTTGGTTGGCTGAGTTTGAATCATTTTTTGTGCGCTTGTGTACCTCGTCATGAACCTGAAGTGATCTAATCACGGACGTGTTTCTCCCGGGCAACAGAGGCTCCTGAGATTGACCTGGACGCGAGTTTGAGGAAAGGTCTTTCTGTGCGGGCCGGCTGTCCGATCCGACTTTTTGCTACTATCAGAGGACGCCCTGCCCCGAAGGTCACCTGGAAGCGTGTGGGGGTGGACAACGTTGTTCGCAAAGGTCACGTGGACCAAGTGGACACCATGTGCTTCCTGGTCATTCCCGAGAGCACCAGAGAAGATTCTGGAAAATACTCACTGACTCTGTCCAACTCGGCTGGAGAGAAGGCCGTCTTTGTTCGTGTCAAAGTCCTCGGTGAGAACCACTCGCCACTTTTTACTCCCAGAGTCCAACCTCGGTTTTCGAACCTAATTTGTTTCAAGACTCAGTTCTACAAACAAAGCAGGGTTTGCCATCGCACTTAGTGGAAATGGAGGGATTTTGCTCCAGCTCTGGAATGAAGTGATGTTTTCAGTAGGGGGGGGGGGGGTATTTTTCGTAGATCTAGATGTGAAAAGGTGTTACATTTTTTGAACCAAATACCTTACCTTTCCAATTCCAAAATAGAAACTTTTCAGGTCCTATGTACGTAAAAATGTGTATATGACTCAAAAACAAAAATCACAGAGAAAGTTGTCACATTTCCAAAAGGTAATATGATGTACAATGAAGTAGAGAATGGAAACCCAAGCAATATTTGTTGGCCAATATTGTGAGTGAAGCGGGCAGCCGGTGAAGCGAAGCGTTGGCTGAAAAATGTATTTGGAAGACAATGAGCTGATTTGCAAATGCGGAATCCATCCTTTGCTAGACACTCCCGGTCCCGTCGGTGGTCTGGAGGCAACTGACGTGACCAAAACAACAGCACAGCTGTCCTGGTTGCCGCCGGAGAACGACGGCGGGAGCGCCATCCTCAACTACATTGTGGAAAAACGGGAGGTGGACAGGAAGACCTGGACCAAATGCACAGAGGACTTGAAGAAGACCAGCTTCAAGGTGACCAACATGGCCCCTGGCATCGAGTACTACTTCCGCGTGATGGCAGTCAACAAGTATGGAATCGGAGTTCCTCAGGATTCGCCCAAGTCTTACCTGGCCAAGGACCCCATCAGTGAGTTTTCGTATCATCCTATTAGCCTTTGGACTCGCATATCATACATTCCCACTGATATGCTGGTGTCAAAAATGGATGCGTCATATGCAGAATAATGTGTATTTGGTTCAGTTTTTCAAAGAAAAACAAAAGCGAAAAATGCTGCTTGTTTATGCTATGTGACCAGTTCTCTTCAGTTCCTTTCTTTCCATGTATCATCCACCCCCTTGATTTTTAACAATAGACTATTCCACACAAGTAACGACGGTGCTTAGTACAGCATGTGAGTGGTTGTACGTCTAAGACCAGCTGCGGTTTTCAGGTGAGCCAGATCCGCCCAAAAAGATGGAGGTTTTGGAGATGTCCCGGACCAGCGCAACGCTGGGCTGGCTGAAGCCGCTCCGAGATGGAGGAGCCAAAATCAACGGCTACGTGGTGGACTACCAGGAGGAGGGGGCGCCGCAGGACAAGTGGACGCCGTACTCAGTGGTCAAAGACTTGACCATCGTTGTGGTGGGCCTGAAGGAAGGGAAGAAGTACAAGTTCAGGGTGGCGGCCAGGAACTCCGTTGGCGTCAGTCTTGCTCGCGAGGCCGAGGGAGTCTTTGAGGCCAAGGAGCAGCTCAGTGAGTACACCGGCACCGAGGTCCAGGGCAGGCGCATCCAAACGTTTTCTTCCGAGGGCCGCAAAGGTAGAAATTCATCGGTTCAAGCTCTAACTTGGCCCTCGGTCCATCCGGCCGTTATTATCTCGGAGGCTGATCGCAGCACGCTTTGTGCCAACGGGCTGCGTACACCCGCAACTGTTTGCCGGCCAATTGAACGGCACGTATTGACAAGCGAGCGTTCAAACCTGCGCACGATTTAGAGTATTCAGAGAAGCCAGTAAACATGTTTTGGGAATGGGGGAGGGCGCCAGCATTTGACCCTCAAAACTAGGAGTGAGTTTAGTCTCGCTCTTTTTTCCGTCATTCTCTTCCACATCTTCGCCTGCTTCTTCTTCTTCATTTTCTCTGGTCGATCTTCGTGAACTCCCCTGCACTGCCTTCCTAAGAACGTACCTCCTAAAAACGCTAGCCTTTTTGTGAATTGGAACGGCTGTGCACTTGTGCACTACTCCCACCACCCCACCCCCACCCGTTGTTCCATGATAGCAGTACGAAAGGCATCATGGGGTATTTTCCCAGCCAAGTCTTTGCAAGAATCCAACTGACACATGCTTGGTTTAAGCTAGCAGACCAAAGCTACATCTGGGCAATGTGTGCGTTCTTGCTTTCTGCGCCTTTTCAATTAGAACGTGACTCGGGCCGCCACAGATAACGTTTGACAAGATCACCAAGCTGTGTGAACGGACAAAAACGCTGATTGAGAAGCGGTCTCTTTCTTCTGCTTCTTGTTGCCACCCACCGAGTAGCAAAAGTAACGAGTGCAGGAGGCAGCCAAACCGCTACGGCGGGCCATGTCAATGGGTAGCTTTAGTGCGCCGCCGAAAGACGGACTGCAGCTCCGCCATTTGGGCATGCCTGCTCCAGGAAGCATCCGAAGCGCCAAGGATGCGACGTGTGCTAACCGGTGCCGACTGTTGTTCCCTTCAGTGGCTCCCAAAATCATCATGCCCGACACCGTGACAGTCCGGGCGGGACGCAAAATGGTGATCGAGGCCCTGGTGTCTGGTAAACCCGCTCCCTTCTGCAAGTGGAAGCAGGGCAATGAGGACGTCCTGACGTCGGATCGCCTCTCGGTGGTCAAGACGCTCAGCAGCTGCACATTGATCATCAAGAACGTCAGCCGCGCCGACAGCGGCTACTACAGCCTGTCGGCGGAGAACAGCACGGCCAAAGTCAACCAGATCCTCAAAGTCATCGTCATGGGTCAGTGCAAAAAACGTAGATCGGGCTTGAAACCTTCTACATTGACTTTTCAAAATGTCTGATGAGCAGGGTTATCGTTCTTGCAATCTTGAACAAAAATCATCCTGCTCATCATTTTGGCCACAATGCAAGCTTTGAAGGTAGCGTGTTGCTGATATTTTGTCCTGTGTGCCGCCGCGCAGACATCCCTGGACCCCCAGAAGCTCCGTTGGAGATCACAGAGCAGGACATCGACGCCTGCACGCTGCTCTGGAACCCTCCTCAGGAGGACGGCGGCAGCAACATCACCAACTACATCGTGGAGAAGTGCGATGTGAGCCAGGGCGACTGGCTCACCGTGTCATCTTCCTGCACCAAAACCAGCTTCCGAATGACCAAACTGATCACCGGCACGGAGTACACCTTCCGAGTCCGAGCCGAGAACAGATTCGGCATCTCGGAGCCTACCTACTCAGAGAAAATGATTGCCAGATATCCGTTTGGTGAGTCATCATCATCGTCGCCGCCGCCATTCGTCACCTCAAAACTTTCTTCGATTGAATGCATAGGCAAACTCATTCTCAATCGTTTTTTTTTTTTTTGTTTGTTTGTTTGTTTGTTTTGTTTGTTTTTTTTTTGGTGGGGCTTTGAGCCAAAACCTTAGTGGAACGTGTTGACCGTATTTTTTTTTTCTGAGAGCGGTACTGTGCTTAAGACTGCACTGTTTGAGACCAAAAGTCACTGAGACCAAGACTCGACCTGGACTTTTGAGAGACGAGACCAAGACCAGAAAGATGTCTTGGCGTGGCTCAGTGGTCGAGTGCTCATCTCCCAATCCTTCCTCATCCTCTGTGATTATGTACTTGAACAAGACACTGACCCCTAAATTGCTTCTGGTGGACTTGGCGGCGCCTTGCAGCAGCCTCCCGTTTGTGTATGAATGTGTGCATGAATGTGAGTGCATCTGTCGGCGACAAAGTTTTAAATGCGTGTCAGACCGTTTGGCTTCCGTTTGCTTCCAGACCCTCCCAGTGAGCCCAGGAACCTTCGCGTGAACAAGATCAACAAGGACTTTGTCGTCCTGTCCTGGGAGCGTCCCACCAGCGACGGCGGAAGCCCCATTACGGGATACTGCATCGAGAAGAAAGAGAGGAACAGTCTGCTGTGGGTCAGGGCCAACGAGTCTGTGGTCAAATCCACCCAATACACCTGCACCGGTCTCATCGAGGGCCTGGAGTACACCTTCAGGGTGTCTGCCATCAACCTCGCCGGACAGGGAAAGCCTTGCAAGCAGACCGAATTCGTCACAGCGAGGACGGCCGTCGGTATGAGAATCTTCCGAGCCGATACGGTGGTGACTTGACTTATTTCGCTTTATGTTGTGCCAAAATCTGAGAGGCGAACGGGCTTCGGCTGTTTCGCCACTTGAGTCACATACCACAAAATGCACAGCGGTATCCGGAATTTCTCATCTACAATAGGCAGATTTTCCCTGGAACTTTCAGAACAAATCAAATGTGCGTAATTGACATGGGTAGAAGGAAAATGAAAAAAATTGTGTCCAAGACCTGTTGATATGAACGTGGCTTCGCCAGACGCCAAGAAATATTGACCAAAGCATATCGTTTTTGAAAGCATCCCCCTTCGACAAAACTCCCGACATGGTCCCTTCACTCTGTTTACACCGTTGCATATCCAAGACTGTCCGTTGTTCTTGGTTCTTATCACTTCAAAGGGAGACCATGATGTCCCTATAAAATAAACTACAAATTGCTCCATGGAAAATGCTTTGATCTTTATGCATGGATGCCAGCCATTTTTAGGGGGCGTACAATCTGTTGCTAGAGGGAAAATCCAGCTGCCGACGTGTGATTTTTGTTTTTACACTCAAGAGATGACAGTAAGGTCCTGTAATACGCTTCGCTGTGGGCAAGGAGAGAGCCCCGGTCGTTAATGCAAATTCGGACGTTGACAAAGCGTCAAATATTCGCAAGGAGGTGCCATAGGCCACAGCTCACACCGTCCAACCCCATCTCCTGATGTCATTCGCATGCCACACCCCTTAAAGGCACTCCCAAGGCACACATATTAGCGTCCCGAGAGCCAATGACACCAAGTCAACGTACCGCTGTGCTGTATTGTGAACCCAGACCTGCTTGGGGAGCTAAAACCACATATTCCTTCCCACCAGACCCTCCAGGTAAACCCGAGCCAATGGATGTGAGCAGGAGCTCCGTGTCGCTGGTGTGGACCCGACCCAAGCACGACGGTGGCAGCAAGCTGATTGGCTACTTTGTGGAGTACTGCAAGCTCCCCGAGGAGAAGTGGAGCCGCTGCAATAGCAACTGCATGAGTGTCCAGGCCGAGAACTATGTGGTGAGCGGTCTGGAAGAGGGCCAACGCTACGTCTTTAGAGTCATCGCCAAGACAGCCGTCAACGTCAGCCTGCCCTCGGAGCTGTCCGATCCCATCGCCGTCATCGCGGAGAACGGTAGGACCCCACTCTGCTCTGCTGGATTGAGTTTGAGGACAACCGCCGCTGTAACAAAGTGCTGTACATCACTTGAAAATGACACGGGAGACACAAAACGACAGTGCCAGTGCAATGAATGCAATAATGAGAATAGGTTGGATGCAGCAAGGGCAGAAACTCCAGCTGTGTTGAAAGCCAAGGAATAAAATTGGAGATATAAAAAGGGATGGTGAGAGGGCACTTGTTTCATCGGTTGGGAGCAGTAATAGATAAAGCTCCCTGGACTTTTAGCTTCGGCTTAGACTTTGGAAGCTCCCGGAGCAGCTACTCGGCCTCCCTGAAGCCCCGAGACGCAGCGGGTCACTTGTCCCTAACCATTGGGAATTGGCCTGGTACTGGGCTGTACGTATAGGTTGAGGCCCAAAAAAAGAAAGGTTTGAAGAAAAAAAAAAAGCATGTATGTCCCGATCGGGAATGTATGTCAGAAACCAACCTCTTCAAGGGTTAGACTTTTGAGTCAAGAGGAAAAAGTTTGTCGAGCTTCTTTTGGAATCAGCGGTAAAACATGGGTTGGTTTCACCACTCATTTCAATTTCAGACCAAAATCTGACAATAAAGTTGATGCTGGCCTAAGCAGACCAGATGACGGCTGGTCTTCATCTTCTGTGCAGTTCCTCCGCGTGTGGAGCTCGGGGTCAACATGAAGAACCTGATTGTGGTGAAAGCCGGACAGAACGTCTTCTTGGACGCGGAAGTGTTTGGCAAGCCTCTTCCCAAGGTGAGCTGGAAGAGAGACGGCGTTCCGCTCCATCTGGCGGAGGGAATGAAGATGACCCAGAAGAAACACGTCCACCTTTTGGAGCTCTACTCCGTCACCAGGAAGGAATCCGGTGACTACACTATTCTCGCTGAGAACGTCAATGGCAGCAAGTATGCCACAATTAAAGTCAAAGTGCTCGGTAAGTCGACTGCGCGGGCGCGATTGTAAGACAATGAGTATGTGTGACCGTGCGATCTCAGCCAGCCAATGATCGCAATTTGACATCGGCAATGATGAAGACGGTGTTCCAAATTCAAAATTGTTCCCGAACATATTCTGTGCGCGTGGAAAATGAACAGTAGGAACACAGCCTAAGTCTTCAAAACTTCACCCGTTATTGGTTGCAGACAAACCGGGTCCTCCGGCTTCAGTGAAAACCACCAAAGTGTTCGCAGACCGCGTCAAGCTGCGGTGGGAACCTCCACTTTCTGACGGCGGTTCTGAAATCACCAACTACATCATTGAGAAGCGTGAAACCAGCAGGGCCAACTGGGCGCTGGTCACCGCCAATATTCACGGACACGTCACCGACTGCTCGGTAGAGAAACTCATAGAGGGCCACGAGTACCAGTTCCGAGTTAGTGCCGAGAACCAGTACGGCGTTGGAGACGCCGTCATGACCGACCCAGTCACGGTCAAGAACCCCTACGGTGAGCGCACGCCTCCAGACCTCCATCCGTTTTCCACACTGTTTATCGATGGCCAAAAGTACCGCCATCAGGTCCAACTGCTTCTCATTCGATCGATTTGGTTCCGCAGATGTTCCCGGCCCTTGTGATCCACCGGTCATCACCAACATCACCAAGGACTCCATGACGGTCAGCTGGAAGGCGCCGGCCAATGACGGTAGAGCCACCATCCTGGGCTACATGGTAGAGAAGCGCGAAGCCACCGAGTTGACCTGGACCAAGGTCAACCGTCGGCCGGTGATCGACAGAACCATCAAGGCGGGTCAGCTGACTGAGGGCTCCGAGTACGAGTTCAGGGTCATTGCCATGAACAAAGCCGGTCTGGGAAAACCAAGCGATGCATCCGGCGCGGCACTGGCCGTCGATCCTGTCTGTGAGTCACTTTTGAGAACGGAGAACTTGCGATTGCTTGTCACTCAAATGAAAAGATCCCTGCGGTACCTCACAAAAGTGAGGACAGCCCTGAGTTTTGCAGAGATTTGATTCTCACTTTTGATGGGACATCACCGCAGCCTGTACGATGCACATTTTGTGTCCCCTCAAAATAAGTCAACACACAGACAATGGATGAACCACTCGCAACAAAAGGAACTGGAAATGTCCAATTTGGACCGAGTAAGCACATTTCTCTCCTCGGTGTCAGGTGACTGGTTCGGTTTTGAAGTTGTCAGGTGTGACTGGGCAGCAGGTGTGTCATCTTCGGCCTTGTCGGAACATAATGGTGGCCCCACAATATATTGACACTGTTGGCCCAATTTGGACGGTTTCAATTGGGGGTGTGCTCACTTTTGTTGCCAGCCACTTTCGAGATGAATGGCTGTGTGTCGACTTACTTTGCGGGGGACAGTACATCTACATTGTTGTACAAGCTAGCCTCTGACTACACTCTCGCAGTGGCATTTCGTTGTTGTCCCATGGAAGGAAGGAAGTAAAGAAAGAAAGAAAGAGAGAACGAAAGAAAGAAAAACGTGTCTGGTGTGCTCAGGTTTGCGAGTTGCTATGCCGGTAAATCATCAAGTGTCTGGCGGTGTTGTTAGTCACTGTCTGTATTTGTCAGATCCTCCCGGGCCCCCCGCCTTCCCCAAGGTGGTGGATTCTACCAGGAGCTCCATCAGCCTCAGCTGGACCAAGCCAGCGTACGACGGCGGTTGCGAGATCATCGGCTACCTGGTGGAGTGCAAAGTGGCCGCCGCGGAAAACTGGACCAAATGCAATGTCCCCCAGAAGCTCCGGGCCACCAATTTCTTGGTGACGGGCCTGATGCAAGGCAGAGAGTACCAGTTCCGAGTATTTGCCCTCAACAAGATTGGCTACAGCGAGCCCAGCGACGTCCCCGGCAACCACACGCCTCAAGACATCCTAAGTATGTTCCTCATTTGGATTGCTTTACAGTGAACCCCGGTTTAGTGCAGCCAATACCTCCCGAACCCACCTGACGTGGGTGAGGTGGAGATCCGTCATTTTGAGATGCCATCCACAAAATCTATTTACAAATAGCTTTACCCATCCCATACGCAAACTCTTTCAAAGTGCTCTCGAGAAAGGAGACGCTTGACTTTAGCCAGCTGCCTAAGACGAAAGAAGCTGGATTTGACAACAGCACCAATTGGCCGGTCCAATGAAAACGCCTTTCCAATTTGAGACCCAATTTCGGAACTGCTGGCTTCAGATAAGGAGGAGAAAGGTTGAACCGCAATGTTTGCTGAACATTCAACAGAGAAATGAAATCCAAACGACTGAACAAAATGCGCTTCCCGCAGTCCCTCCGGAAGCCGAGCTGGATGCCGACTTGAGGAAAGCGTTGGTTCTCCGCGCCGGTGTCACCATGAGGCTCTACGTCCCCCTGAGAGGGCGCCCGCCACCCAAAGTGACGTGGAGCAAGGTGGACGGAAACTTGAAGGAGAGAACCGGTGTCCTGATAAAGACGTCAGACTGGGACACCCTGCTCCTGGTTGAAGACATCAACCGATACGACGCTGGCAAATATGTCCTGACACTGGAGAACACCAGCGGGTCCAAGAGCTACACCATTGTCGTCAAGGTCCTCGGTGAGATAGCAAACTTCTTGGTGGCCTTAAGCAAATCTCTTCTGGGACCAGAGAGCGAATCATTTCGTTCCGGCGTTCCCGTGGGACGGCTTAGAGGGCCGTCATTGTTCCGATTCTAATACCTGCACTATCGTTTACTACAGCGGACACGAGGAAACTGACTTAAAACAAAAAAGGCCCGTGCAGTTGACTTGCTTCAACTTTTGCCTTGGATGGTTGAAAATATAAACAGACCTAACTGAACCATTTGGCAATGTCGGATTTATGTGACAATTGGGGATGGGCAAGTACTGCTACTAGGGACCAGGTTTAGGCCAATGCTGGCAGTATTTCACTGTTTCGGGTACTGGTGAAGTCTGCCGATGCCATTCATCAGTATTTCAAGTTAAAAAGAAAAAAAAACAAAAAAACAATCAACTAAGTCGTGCTTGCCGCTTGTGGGCACTACGATGCCAATAATCATGCGCGGCAGAAACAAAGAAAAGTCACAATTTAACAAAGTGCTAGTCACAATCGTATCAAAACTTATAATTGGCCCAAAGCTAATGTAGAGAGGAGTCATATTTTGCTGAGCCCCGAACTATGGCTTCAAATTGGGAGCCCAGTTTAATGCCTACTGGTTTATTGAAATAAAGCTCGTGCGGTATACTGCCTCTGATTCCTCTATGTACTCGACCTCTCCACTGTAGATACCCCTGGACCACCTCAGAACCTTACCGTGAAAGAAACCTCCCTAAACCACGCTTGGATCACCTGGGATGCCCCATTGATCGACGGCGGCAGTCCTGTCAAGAGCTACATCGTGGAGAAGCGCCTGGCTGAGAGGAAGGCTTGGACTTGTGTGTCAACTGAGTGTCACAAGATCTCGTACAGGATTCCCAACCTGGAGGCCGGTCAGGCCTACTGCTTCAGAGTTCTGGCTGAGAACGCTTACGGCATCGGAGAGGGCTGTGAGACTGCCGGTAGCGTGCGAGCTTCAGGTACGTAGGTGCCCGATTCTTCTGCGCGCCTTGCATATAAAGACTACTGACAGTCCAATGAATAAGTAAAATCCTTGAATGCAATCTGCTATTTCTGAACGGCACAACAGTCATTCTCACTGTGATGCAACCCTTGATGCTCCTCCAGAGCAACCTGGTCCAGTGGTGGACTTGAAGGCCAAGAAGACCACCAAAGATTCCATCATCCTGGCCTGGAAAAAGCCCATCAGTGATGGTGGCAGCCACATCAGCGCCTATATCGTGGACCAGAGTGAAGGCGACAAGTGGAAGGAGATTTCCAAGGGCAGGAACACCTCACTGACCGTCGGGGACCTCACAGAGGGCAAGGAGTACTTGTTCAGAGTCACGGCGCTCAATGAGTCCGGAGTGGGGCCGCCCTCGGAGATTGCGGCTGTTGCCAAGGACCAGTTTGGTAAGAACTGCACCCTGCTTTCACCATGTGACGGTAAACTGCCATTTATTGAAGGGGACACAGTCCACACATGCCCGTAATAGGTGACAATATGCCTCTAAAGCAGCGGTTCTTAACCTTGTTAGAGGTACCCAACCCAACCAGTTCATATGCAGATCCACTGAACCCTTAGTGAAAAATAAAAATAGGATTTGAGAAGTGTTCCTTCGGTTTTTGGAGGTGCGAGACTGGAGTTGCCCAATCACACGACGTACTATCACGACAGTCACACGCTGACTACTGAGCGAATTAAATTTCCTGCAGCGCTGATTGGACAAGCAATGTCATGTGATCTTCTGCAGCCAGTGACGGCCAAGCGGGCATGTCATAACTATGAGACATGTTGAGTCAGCTGTGTCTTAACCTCCATGGCAGAGTCTCCGTCGAACCCCTGAGACTGATTCACCAAACCCCTGGCAAACCACTGCTCGAAAGACGTTTTCTTATAGTTTTACACTTCCCACAACAGATTTTAACTTTTGAAAACATACTTTGTTAAAGCGTCGGAATTGCTCTTCTTACTCTCTCGCTGGGACAGTTCTCCAAATAAGATCCAAAGGGAGCTTGCTAAACAAAAGCAATCTTAGCATAGTGCCAACATATAATGTGAAAGGCATTAGATGGCGAAACTTGGTCCTGTGAAAGAACAGAACACCCAACACCGCGAAACAGAAATGAGCATCTGCCCGATCATTTCCTCCCCTCACGTGACGTACACCTATCTACTCGTCCGTGCGTTTATACAACTATACTCACAGGCATATATTCGATCTACTCTCCAGGGTAGAGAAAAAAAAAAGCAGAACATGTGGTACTGGACACTGAAGCGTCATCTTTTGGCCCATAATTTCATGGCATCTTTTCCAGTCGAGCTCATGCTGCTCAGCATCTTGTTGCTGCACACAGTGGCACTAGATTGAAGGAGCGCAACTCTAAATTCAGACTTGCCTGCGTAGTGTAAAATCACCAAATAATTTTTTCGCTGTAGCTGGGGAAGATTCAAACTGCTGTAACAGTTTCCTCAACATGCCAAAACCTTTGCTGTCCAGTGTTACCTGACTGCAACCTGAGCTGTCTGCATGACGGTTGCTACGTGGTGAAGGAGGGGACTACCGCCCGCATCAACATCCCCCTCAGTGGTGTGCCATATCCCATTGCCACGTGGAAGAAGGGCGACGTGGCGCTCGGTGACACCGGGCGTATGTGCGTCGAGGCGTCCCAGGGTGTGACCACTCTCCTGATCAGAGACTGCCAGAGAGGAGACGCGGAAGTCTACACCATCAACGTCAGGAACAGCTTGGGCTCCAAGGACTGTAAGTTGCAGCTCAAGGTGGTGGGCAAACCGGGCATCTGCACCGGACCCATCAAGTTTGACGAGATCACAGCCGACGGCATCACCCTGGAATGGGGGCCGCCCAAAGACGACGGTGGCGCAGAGGTGTCCAACTACATCGTCGAGAAAAGGAGGACAACAGATAATAAGTGGGCCACAGTGGCTTCGGCAATCCAAAAAACCACCATGAGAGTCATACGTCTCCATGACGGAGTGGAGTATATCTTCAGAGTATTCGCTGAGAACAAGTATGGAATTGGAGAGCACCTGAGGTCAGACCCGGTCATCGCACAGCATCCTTTCAGTGAGTATCCAAGGCGACCAAAACAAAACAGCCCTTTGTGATGAATTTCGCTGAAAACTATTACTTGCGTTGCCGCGCCCAGATGTCCCAGAGGCGCCGGCACCTCCAGTGATAATGAGCATCCGCCACGAGTCAGCCATCCTAACGTGGGCTGATCCCAAAGACACGGGCGGCTCCCCAATTACAGGTAACCGAGTGTTATCACGGCCTCGGTGTCAAGCTGCAATCTGCACCGCAACGCTGATGGTGTGCTTGTGCGCAGGCTACCATGTGGAGTTCAAGGAGAGGAACAGTCTGATGTGGAAACGAGCCAGTAAGACACCTCTCAGATTGAAAGAGTGCCGGGTCACGGGACTGATCGAGGGACTGGAGTACGAATTCAGGGTAATGGCCATGAACATGGCCGGTCTGGGGAAGGCCAGCAGAGCGACTGAGGCTGTTGTTGCTCTGGATCCCATTGGTGAGTTTTTGAGATCAGTCAGTCAATCGAACTTTATTCATAGAGCGTTTTTCAAACGTAAATTGCAACTCAAAGTGCTTTGCACAAGTTAAAAATAACCCCACCCCAATACACCCCCCCCCACGCCCTCCACAACCACCCCACGACAATAAAGACCCGCACGGACACACGAGTTAAAAAAAATCCAACCACCAACAACTCCTTCGCGTCCGGCAGTAAAAGGTGACCACGATGGTCTTTGTCTTCTCTTAGATCCTCCTGGCAAGCCTGACGTCATTAATGTCACCAGGACATCGGTCACTCTTATGTGGACTCCACCCAAATATGATGGTGGCTACAAACTGACTGGCTACGCGGTAGAGAAACTCGAGGCTGGCGGCAAGGCCTGGATGAAGGCGAATCATGTCAATATTCAAGGATGTGCCTTCACAGTCACTGACCTGACAGAGGGAGCTCAGTATAAATTCCAAGTCAGGGCCAAGAACTCTGCCGGTGCTATTAGTCTTCCCTCAGAGACGACCGATTTGTTAACTTGCAAGGATGAGTATGGTAAGATGATTTTGACCAAATTCCCCATTTGTTCCGAATGTTCCAGCTTGCAATCTAACATTTTGCATCACTTGATTACGCAGAACCCCCGAGCATCACCATTGACCCTGACATAAAGGACGGCCTTTCAGTCCGGGCAGGAGAAACAATTGTGGTCTCAGCTTGCAAGATTGGCGGCAAACCTCCCCCCACCACTGTCTGGTCAAAGGCCGGCCGTGAGCTCAAGAACTCCGACGTTGTCACCATCACCAGCACTCCAACCTCTTCCACTGTAGCCATCAAGTACGCCAGCAGGAAAAACACCGGAGAGTACACCATCACTGCCAGTAACCCGTTTGGCATCAAAGAGGAGCACGTCAAAGTGAAGGTTCTGGATGTTCCTGGACCTCCGGGCCCCATTGAGGCCAGTAACATTTCTGCTGAAAAGTGCACCCTGACCTGGCTTCCACCAGAGGAGGATGGAGGCTGCTCGATTAAGTCCTACGTCCTTGAGAAGCGAGAGACCAGTCGCCTGCAGTGGACCAAGCTGGCTGAAAACGTCCCGGACTGCAGATGTGTCACCAGCAAACTGATCAAAGGCAACGAGTACATCTTCAGGGTGTCTGCGGTCAACCAATATGGCACTGGAGACGCAAGCCTGTCTGCTCCAGTCAAAATGGTCGACAGTTACTGTAAGTTCAGTCAATATTATCCATGTTTCAAGGTGCTAAGCATCAACCTGCTCTTTGGGTAATGTCACATTTTCATCACCAACAATCCCAATCATCTTTGTGCCCACAGGTCCACCAGGTCCACCGTCAACCCCAGAAATCGATAACTTCACTAGGAACTCTGTCACCATTTCATGGAAGAGACCGGTGCAGGATGGTGGCAGTGACATCAGGGGGTACCTCGTAGAAAGGAAAGAGAAGCGAGGAATGAGGTGGGTTAGGGCTTCTAAGAGAACGGTCCCGGACCTGCGCTTCAAGGTGCAAGGCCTAAGCGAAGGGGTCGAGTACGAGTTCAGAGTAACTGCTGAGAACAAGGCTGGCTTCGGAGAACCCAGTGAGCCTTCGCGTCCGGCGATGACCAAGGATATCGTGTGTATGTAGTTCAAGAGTACCAATTATTTAGTTTAAGCCGCAGAATGTTGTTGTTGTTTTTTTTTAACAATTTCTTTTCTCCGTTCATTAGATCCACCAGGCCCTCCTTCCAACCCAAGGATTACAGACACCACTAAAACGTCTGCCACTTTCACCTGGGGCCGACCCCACTATGATGGTGGTCTGCCAGTGGATGGATACATTGTGGAGTACAAAAAGGAAGGCCATGATGACTGGGAGACAGAGACAGAGTACCACTTGAAGGCTACTGTATATGTTATCGGAAAACTGCAAAAGGGAGGCAGATACCATTTCAGAGTCAGAGCTGTGAACTCCGAGGGGGTTGGTGAACCTGCAGAGGTTGAAAAAGTAACAGAACTTGTAGACCAGGAGTCCGTTCCAGACTTTGAGCTGGACGCCGAACTCCGGAAATCCCTGGTGGTCAGGGCCCGCACGTCAATCCGTATTTTTGTTCCCATCCGAGGCCGTCCTGTTCCAGACGTCACCTGGAGCAAAGATGATGTCAATCTAAAAACACGTGCGCATATTGACACGACTGAATCTTACACACTGCTGGTCATTCCTGACTGCACTAGATATGATGCCGGAAAGTACAACTTGTGCCTGGAGAACGTCGCTGGAAAGAAGACGGGCTTTGTAAATGTAAAGGTTCTGGACACGCCAGGGCCCCCGGTGAATCTCAAACCCAGAGAGATCACGAAAACGAGCATAACCCTTCAGTGGGAGATCCCCATCATTGACGGTGGCTCTAAGATCCACAACTACATAATTGAAAAGCGAGAGGCCACAAAGAAGGCCTACACGGTCTTGAACACCGCCTGGCAGAAGTGCTCTTTCAAATTCACCGACCTGGAGGAAGGCGCTTACTACTACTTCCGAATCTCTGCTGAGAATGACCTGGGCGTTGGCGAGCCCGCTGAAACCCCCGAACCGATCCGGGCATCTCAGGCCCCTTCTCCGCCTGAAAACCTGTACATCACTGATGTTACGGCTGACAGCGCCAGCTTGGCGTGGACCAAGCCTCTTCACGATGGCGGTAGCTTGATCACCGGGTATGTCATAGAGGCCCAGAAGAAGGACACTGAGCACTGGTTCCATGTTGCCGCCATCAAGGCTCTGGACTTCACCGTGACGAATCTCATCGAGGGAGAAGAATACACTTTCCGCATAATGGCAGTCAACGCTTCGGGTAGAAGCGACCCACGTGAGAGCAGACCAGCAATTATCAAAGAACAAACATCAGGTCCGTCATTTGACTTCCGTGGCATCTACCAGAAGACGGTCATTGCCAAGGCTGGCGACCGTGTTAAGATTGAGATTCCCGTACTTGGAAAACCTAGGCCTGTTGTTTCTTGGAAGAAAGGAGACGCAGTTCTCAAAGAGACACAAAGAATTAACACCGAAACCACAGCAACATCAACTGTCCTCAACATTAGCGAGATCAAGAGGACTGATGGAGGCCAGTATTCAGTGACAGGAAAGAACATGCTGGGCACAGTGACCGATACCATCACAGTATTAGTCCATGATATTCCAGGTCCACCAACTGGTCCCATCAAAATGGATGAGGTCTCATCCGATTACATCCTGATGTCCTGGGAGGCCCCTGAGAATGATGGAGGTGTTCCCATCAACAATTATATCGTTGAAATGCGGGAGACCACCGGTACTTCCTGGGTGGAGTTAGCAGCCACTGTCATACGCACCACATTTAAGGCAGCCCGGCTCATCACTGGAACAGGATATCAGTTCCGTGTTAAGGCCCAGAATCGATACGGCATTGGACCGTCCATTGTCTCTGAGCCAGTGGTGGCCACCTACCCGTTTGATGTCCCAGGCCAGCCAGGGCCTCCTGCAGTCACATCTTACAATAAGGATGCAATGACTCTGAGCTGGAACGAGCCATCTTCAGATGGAGGCAGTGCCATTCTGGGCTACCATGTGGAACGAAAAGAGAGGAATAGCATTCTGTGGCAGAGGATCAGCAAAGCTCTTGTGATAGGGAACATCTTCAAATCAACTGGCCTGGTCGATGGAATTGAATACGAACACCGTGTTATTGCTGAAAACTTGGCCGGTCTCAGCAAACCCAGCAAACCCTCTGACCCATTGTATGCTCTGGACCCGGTGGATCCACCAGGCAGACCTTTGGCACTGAACATCACCAGACATGAGGTAACTGTTTCCTGGACCAAACCAGAGGCAGACGGAGGATTTTCCATCACCGGATACACTGTGGAGAGGAGAGAGCTCCCGAATGGGCGGTGGCTCAAAGCCAACTTCAACAACATCCTCGAGACGGTCTACACAGTTAGTGGTCTGATTGAAGACACGGTTTATGAATTCCGCGTGTTTGCTCGCAACTCGGCAGGGGCCGTGAGTGCACCTTCGCAACCCTCAGAAGCCATCACATGCAGGGATGACATTGAAGAGCCCCGGCTCAACGTCGACTCCATTTACAGCAGCAATGTTGTCGTCAAGGCAGGAGAGGTGTTTACACTGGAGGCCGATGTGACGGGTCGGCCCATCCCCTCACTTGTGTGGACCAAGGACGGGAAGGAACTCGAAGATACCGGCAAGTTGGAGATCAAGGTGTCTGCTTTCCACACAGCTCTGATTAACAAAGACTCTTTGAGAAGAGATGGCGGCACATTCACCCTGACTGCCAGTAACCCCGGTGGCTATGCTAAATTCGCTTTCAATGTCAAGGTCCTCGATAGACCCGGACCGCCCGACTCCTTAATCGTTACTGACATTGCTGCAGAGAAATGTGTCCTCAACTGGCTGCACCCGACACATGACGGCGGTGCCAAGATTGACTACTTCATCATTCAGAAGCGTGAGACCAGCAGGTTGGCTTGGACAAATGTGGCCACAGATCTACAAGCAAACAGGTTCAAGGTCACCAAGCTTCTTGAGGGCAATGAGTATGTCTTCAGAGTTATGGCTGTGAATAAGTATGGCACTGGAGAGCCGGTGGAGTCCCTGCCTGTCATATGTGCCAATCCCTACGTTCCCAGTGACCCGCCCACGCAGCCCGAGGTCACCACCATCACCAAAGACTCAATGGTGGTCTGCTGGGAGCGCCCCGAACAAGACGGAGGGAGCAGCATCAACACTTACATCATCGAGAGAAGGGATAAGACTGGGCTGCGCTGGGTCAAGTGCAACAAAAGGACTGTCACTGACCTACGATTCAAGGCCTCTGGCCTCACACCGGGCCACGAGTATGAGTTCAGAGTTTTTGCCGAGAACAATGCCGGACTGAGCCAGCCGAGTCCCTCGAGTCCGTTCTACAAAGCCATGGACACAATATTCCGGCCTGGACCTCCAGGTAACCCTCGAGTTCTAGACACAACCAAGTCATCCATCAGCCTTGCTTGGAATAAGCCCATCTATGATGGTGGTTCTGAAATCACTGGCTACATTGTGGAGACCTGCCTGCCAGAAGAGGATGAATGGACAATTCACACTCCTAAGAAGGGATGGACAGCTACCTCTTTCACTATCACTGGCCTGAAAGAGAACCAAGACTACAAAATCAACATCTGTGCCACCAATTGCGAAGGTGTGGGAGAGCCTGCTGCTCTCCCCGGAACCTCGAAAGCCGAAGATAGGCTACTGCCCCCCGAAATCGAACTTGGAGCGGATCTCCGTAAGGTAGTCAGCATCAGAGCCTGTGGCACCCTCAGGCTCTTTGTGCCTATTAAAGGCAGGCCGGCACCTGACGTCAAATGGTCAAGAGAACACGGGGAGTCTCTGGACAAAGCTAACATTGAAGTCACCTCATCATTCACCACTCTGCAAGTTGAAAACGTAGACAGATTTGATAGTGGTAAATACATGGTCACTGTAGAAAATGCCTCTGGAAGTAAGACGGCTTTTGTTAACGTCAGGGTGCTAGACACACCCGGAGCACCTCAGAACCTTCTCATCAAGGAGGTTACCAAAGACTCAGTCTCCCTCATTTGGGATGCACCTTTAATTGATGGCGGCTCCAGAGTCCGTAATTACATAGTAGAGAAGCGCGAGTCAACCAGGAAGGCCTACTCCACTGTTTGTGCAAACTGCCACAAATCCAGCTGGAAAGTTGGAGAGCTGGAGGAAGGAAAGATGTACTTCTTCAGAATTCTGGCCGAGAACGAATATGGCATTGGCCTCCCGGTGGAGACGTTTGACCCCATTAAGGCGTCAGAGAGACCGCTACCTCCAGGAAAGGTTTCCCTCCGTGAGGTGACCGGCACCAGTGTTACGCTGACCTGGGAGAAGCCCGATCATGATGGTGGCAGCAGAATCACTGGCTACATTGTGGAGATGCAGGGCAGTGAAAGTGAAAAGTGGACCCAGGTCATGGTAGTCAAGACCAACGAGGTGGTTGTAACCGGTTTGACACAGGGAGAGGAGTACATGTTCCGTATCTCGGCAACCAATGAAAAGGGAGTTAGTGATCCACGTGCTCTCAGCATGCCCGTGGTGGCCAAGGACCTGGTTATAGCGCCAATGTTTAAATTGGCTTTCAGCACGTTTAGCGTGTTAGCGGGAGATGATCTCAAGATCGACGTAGCTTATGCTGCCTGTCCCAAAGCAACAGCAACTTGGTTCAAAGACGGTGTCACCCTCAAGGAGACAACGAGAGTCAACACTGTAAGCAACGACAAGAACCTTCTCCTGGTCATTAAGGAGGCCTGCAGAGATGATGTGGGCACATATTCAATCAAACTTGTAAACCCAGCTGGTGAGGCGACTACAGACATAAATGTGGTGGTCCTGGACAAGCCAGGCCCTCCAACTGGCCCAATCAAGCTGGATGAGGTCACTGCAGACAGTGTGGTCTTGTCCTGGAATCCTCCGGAGTACGACGGTTGCTGTAGCATCAACAATTATGTTGTTGAGAAGAGAGACACGTCGACTACTAACTGGCAGATCGTATCAGCGACAGTGGCCAGAACCACCATAAAAGCTGTACGTCTGAAGACTGGATGCGAGTACCAATTCCGGATTGCCGCAGAGAATCGATATGGCAAGTCCTCGCCGCTGCTCTCTGAAAGCATCGTGGCTCAGTATCCGTTTGATGTACCAGCTTCACCGCGTTTGGTGGTTGTCCAGTCAGCCACCAAGGAGTCCATGCTGGTCGTATGGGATAAACCCAGCAGTGATGGTGGAAGTAAAATCCTGGGCTACCACCTCGAGCTCAAAGAGAAAAACAGCATTTTGTGGGTGAAGCAGAACAAACAGCTCATCCCAGAGGCCCGATTCAAAGTAGGTGGCCTGGAAGAGGGTCTTGAATACGAGTTCCGAGTTTACGCTGAGAACATTGTCGGCCTAAGCAAAGCGAGTGTCGTGAGTGAGTTACAGGTCGCCAGAGACCCCTGTGACAGACCAGGAAGGCCGGAGGCTGTTATTGTGACCAGAAACCAGGTGACCCTCCGATGGAACAAACCTGAGTATGATGGTGGCATAAAAATCACCGGATATGTGGTGGAGAAGAAGGAAGGAGCCGGACGCTGGATGAAGGCCAGTTTCGCCAATGTCATTGAGACTTCCTTTGTTGTCACGGGTCTCACCGAAGATCAGATTTATGAGTTCCGTGTCATTGCCAAAAATGCAGCGGGTGTCAGCAGTCAACCATCTGACTCTACAGGAGCGATCACTGCCAAGGATGAGGTGGTTCCGCCCCAAATCGACCTGGATGCCAAATACTCCCAGACTGTGGTTGTGAATGCTGGAGAGTCATTCTGTCTTGAGGCAGCTATGTCGGGAAAACCTCTACCCACGGTCCTCTGGCTGAAGGAGGGTCAAGTCATGAGTGAAGCAGCACGCTTGGAAGTCAAGAACACAGACTTTTTAGCCTGTATAGTTGTCAAAGAAGCCATTCGTGTTGATGGAGGCCAGTATACTTTGCTGGTGAAGAATGTAGGCGGAGAGAAATCTGTGAACTTTAATGTGAAAGTTCTGGACAGGCCAGGTCCACCTGAGGGCCCTATTTCAATCTATGGGGTCACTAGTGAGAAGTGCTCCATTTCCTGGAAACCACCTTTGCAGGATGGCGGTAGTGATGTTTCCCATTACATTGTTGAAAGGAGAGAGACTAGCAGACTGGTTTGGACAGTAGTCGAACAAAAAGTTCAGACCCTCAACCTGAAGATCACCAAGCTTCTTCCTGGCAATGAGTACATCTTCAGAGTGATTGCAGTGAACAAGTATGGAGTTGGTGAGCCTCTGGAATCAGAGCCCACTGTTGCCAGAAATCCATTTGTAGCTCCCAACCCACCAACAGAGGTAGACGTCTCCACGATTACCAAAGACTCCATGGTCGTGACCTGGGAACGACCAAGTAATGACGGTGGTAGTGTCATCCAAGGTTACGTTGTGGAGAAACGTGACAAGGACGGTGTTAGATGGACCAGGTGCAACAAGCGTAACGTGAGCGAGCTCCGTTTCAGAGTTACTGGGCTCCAAGAAAACCACAGCTACGAATTTAGGGTCTCTGCCGAGAATGCTGCCGGCTTGGGAACACCCAGTTCCCCAACAACGTATTACAAAGCTTTGGATCCCGTCTTCAAACCAGGCCCGCCAAACAATCCCAAAGTGGTGGACACCTCAAG